TGTGAAATCAGACCTCATGAGTTGAACGGTTCCCCAGGGAACGCTGGACTGCGCAGAAGGTCAAAGTCATGGGCCGGACCATCTAAAAGTGTCTGATCGCCGGTCTGTGACACAGCAAGTTGGGGAGGGGGGAGGGCTAGACTGAGAGGACTGAAATTGAACACATCTTAATTAAAGCCCACAGACAGCAAAACAAAATGTTTTCTAGGCAGCCTGTCAAATGGGGCTTAAATTTAGCTCTGCTAATGAATCTGAGCTGCTAACTGTTATTTCTTAAGATAATAAGACTCTCACAGGAAGCGGGAAAAAAAAAACTGTAGCATGTCTTTTTCTGCTGTTTTGCTACTTAAATATTTTCCAACAATGAAGACGGTTTTCCTAAAGAAAAAACATGGGGAAAGTCTATGCAAATAAAGGGGTAGTAAACGTCTCTCTTAATAACTAGTAGGTTTCCAGACTATGGGGCTGGTAAATCGAAGTCAAGTCTATATTTGGAGACTTGCTTTAGAAAAAAATATGCTCATTTAAATGGGACCATTTCAGTGACAGATTATGTTAATTGTAAAATTCTCTTTCTTCCTTTTCCTCTCCCTCTCGCTCTATTGTTTCCTGAACGAGATGGTGCATTAATTTGAGATCTCAATTCACTCGGGGTGCAGAAGTTTTATATTAGTGTACCTTTTAACACAGTGAAAAGGTAGGGCATCTTTTGAAAGGGTTTCACAGTGCTCCCATATCACTGTTTCTGAAACAGAGTGGCTGGTATCCCTGGGGAGGCTGTGACCTCTTCTTCAGGAGCTCAGAAAACAACCCAGGGGAAAACGAAGGGGGAGGGGCTGGGGAGAGAATTCTTTTCTCTAACTTCTCTTAGAACTTGAAAGAACCAATCGGCCAGGTCTAAATACTCTGCGAAGAAAGCCTCACTCGCTGCAGACTTTAAATGTTCTGTTGAAAGCAGAAATTAGGATCCGTCCAAGGAAAAGAATAATTAGAAGCCAGGAAAGGCACATTCCAACATGAATGGTTTCCCACCACCAAAAAATAAATAAGCTTTTCCCCTCACCGGTCTTTGTCTTCTCACCACCTCCCCAATTTCAAGGAGTACGTGGTTTAGCGGTGGACAGAACCCTCCCCAGTGCACACAGGGCCGGACAGACTCTAGGTTTTGCTTTGATGGCATAGAGAGACTTTGACCTTTTCACTGGCTAGTTGAAAGGTAAGTAAGTTGTACTGCACAGTATTTTTCAGTTAACCAAACTTTTTCCCTCATGAAGAACTTAGCTGACCAACTTTGAAAACCAAAGTGCCACTTTCTCAGGCTGTGAAAGGCAGCCCACAATTTGACTGAAATTTCAATCCACTCTTATGCCTTGCTCAATGCATGTGTATGTGTGGGAGTTGTAAATTGAGGCCTTAACCACCAGGCTTAATCTCTTTTAAATCTGTATTAACCTTAATGATTTGAAGTGCACTGTCCAACACTGGGCTATTGAGACCGAAGAAAAAACTACCCTCAACTATCAACAGTTTATTAGAGGCTTAACTGAAGTGACCTACTGTAGTAGTGTTCAGCTGAACAAGGCTATAGGCTTTTTGTGGAAAGGGAAAGAATTGAGGGTTTCATTAAAAAGTAATTTGTGCTTTATACTTACTCATTCAAAGAGTCTCAATTGCTCTTTATTCACACAGAGTTAATACAGTATCACAATGTTTCTCAATGAATGTGTTGTAACAAAAGAAAAATTTTACATTTTGAAAGGAAAAAGTTCTTCGAAAGTGTGGTAAGATAGATGGCTACTTAAAAGATTACAGAATCTCTTTTTCCTATGCTCATGTTAAATGATGAAATACTGTAATTTAAAATTATTTTCTTAAATTATGGAAGTTTAACTTTATGTTTGAATCATTAAAAATATTTTTAAAATAGAGCAAAGTTGGTCTTGTCAGACTTGTCCAGAAAAAAAATGTTCCAAAGCCAGCTGAGCATCTTACAGTAATAGCTTCATTTATATCAGGTCATAAAATATTCTTCACTTAACACAGACAGTTATCAGTGATTTAAAATCTCCCCTCTCCATCCACAATGCCCCTAAATGGATGCTAATTTGAGGATTTGAAGACAGCACCATTGACTCAATTCCCTTTTTTTCTAAACTGTTGCTGAATATCTTGCAGAGCCTGACTACGATTATCCACTGATATATACAACACATTTTTAAAGTACTTCTTTTAATAAATAAGAGATGAAATATACAAAAAGCTTATTTGTGCCCCAAATTTAATGATAAGGACCAGGAAGGACCAGTACATATATAAATATCTATCCTCTTCAAAAGTAAAGATAGTTGTTTAATGGCAGTGTATTCAGATATTTCTGACTTAAATATATGCTCCTCAGTTTCTGCCACCAACACAAATGTCATAAAGACCACAAAAGGTCGAAGAGTGAGCAAGGTCAAAGACTGAATTATCCCCTTGCCCCTTAATAGTTCAACGTCTCTCTTGTACAATTCAGAGCACATTAGATTATAAGGCCAGTGTGGAATGAGGAATCATTACATTTATATCCCCAAAATTGAAGGGAAAAAATGAAGAATCTGTTATTTAGTATTCCCCAAATTAAAGTTTATTTTATCAGATCAAAATTATGCCTCATTGAATCCCTAGGAAGAAGACTATTGTTATTCACATTAATTCACACATTAGGACATTACAATCATTGGAAAGAAATACATCTATTTTTGTCAGCTTTGAAAGAACACATACTTTAACTTCCATAGTGGCATAGAGGCCAACGGGGTTAACATTGTTTGCATATTCATTAAGTTTTGAAAGTAATGACAGCTTCTCTCCAAGAGAAACAAACTATATAATTGCATTCAACGTGTGTAATGGGCAGGCATCTAAGCTTGTAAAGTAAATAGCACTTGAATTTTTCTATAAGAAATTATTGTGCCTGTTATAAATGTTCAGCTATAGTTCTGAGCACTTAGGTGCCCCCTGAGATACTGATCAGTTTAGGCTTTTTTTCCTATTTCAGATATTTTCAGCAAAACACTGGGTACCCCATCCCCTACAGAAAATCCTGAAGAAAAGCGAAGGTGTCTCCCAAGAGACAATGTCACTGCCATGAAATCCTTAATCTACCTGCTGCTGGGAATCATAGGCTAGGCATAACCTCTGCAATAGAAAAACAATACTGTGTTTCTATTACGTCTTCAAGTTCATGTCCAAAGTGAAAAAAAGAGAAGTTAGTCAATCATTTATTGTTGACTTTTGATTCTAATAAATACAGCATAATAATAAAAAAGAAATCACTGTCCATATTAATTTGATTAGAACCCCATAAGAAATAAAAAAGAAAATGAATGAAGTTAACATTCACTGCTTGTTTAGTACATTGAAACAAATCAGCATGTATCCAGGACTGCAAACTACCTTCTCTCCAGTTATTTTCAAGAATGCCTATTTTGAAAGAATAGTTGATAGCTGCTATCTTCTTGCTTACAAATGAGTTGATAATTACTTCTTTAGAGAAACTGTAAACTCTCAACATTTTTATTTTTATCACACAATATATAGTCATGCAATAATATGCAAACATGAAACTTTTTAAAGTATTGCTATTTTGGAGCAGTAATCTGCTATTTTAGTTTTAAGGCATGTGATCTTTTAATTTGGCTTTGATTTGAGGAATTAAAGAAGGGTACCAGTGACCATGTAATGGATTTGCAAGCCCTTAGAGCAGTGATTTTCAAATGGTGTGGCACAAGAATTTTTAAAACATGCAACATCTGACTATTTAGTCAGGGGCACTGACCTCTTCTTCCTTAGATTGTCAAATTAAAAAAAATGACAACAAGCCAACACGACAATAACCATCTGGTATGAATGAATCAAAATTACACCTATTTTTTTTGTCAGATCGGCAAGAAAATACACATTTTTGGTGTGCTGCAGAATTTTATGATTAGTTCATGTGTGCCTTAAGATGAAAAAGGTTGAAAATTGCTGCCTTAGATGGGAGGAAAAGTACATTTCTCCCCTTCACATAAGCCAGCTACCTTTGTAGACTCAACTTGCTGAACATACAATGGTAAGTGTGTTTTCACAAATAGTAAGTGGGTACTTCATTTCAGAAACAATGAAATTTGCACAAAAACTGGTCAAGTCAGTCCTATGTATTATACATTTTGAGATGGACAATTTAAGAATTGGTATAAACAACCCCAAATCCTATAAAATTAAACAATAAGTGAAAGGTCACATAGTTGTAAATTCAAACCAATGACTTAATTCTAGAAATTGATGAAATAATTACCATTAGTTGGTTAATATGTTATAGAAACAGCAATACTGAAATCAGAAAATTTAAGAGACAAGACTCATTTTGGCATTTTTACAGGCCTGTTTCTTGGTTTAAAATATTTAGAACAATGTGGGTGCTTAGTGTAGATCCAAAATTATCTCTGGAATATCCTAAGAAATTTGGATAACTAACAAATTGGATGAGCAACCCAAATTCTAAGAGTTCATACCAAGTAACTCAGTATTATGTATGTTTGAATTATAAATGTTGAAGCGATGATGTCATCTTACGTAAGCTGATACTCTCTGAGAGAAGATGCAGCGTTACTCCAAAATGACAGAATCAGAAGAAAAACCCCTACTATGTGTACTAAACTTTGGAGGAAGCAACAATTCAAAAGTTATTTTATTTTTTTATTGTTAATTTTTTATTATATTACCCTTCTTTTAAAAAGCAGTGACAATATAAAAATTGGTGGTTGGCAAATCTTTGTAAGATCGACTCTGACACTTTATGTTACATACTTTGATAATCCAATAAGGTCAAATGAAGAGTTCCATCATTAAATGCTACAGCCCTGGCATGCTGCTTGATATCTACACCCAAACCTATATCTATATCATCTATGTCTATATGTATATCTATATCTATATCTATATCTACACAATAAGGTAATAGCGTAATTTCTTACCTGTGACATCAGCAGCCATTAATCCTTCTGCTCTGATTACTTTCACCTGAAGAAATCCCACATCTTTCAGGTTGTGAAATACCCTCAGGGGACTCTGAAAGACCCCAACATCAGTATTAGAAAAAGAAGGACCTAAATGATCTCAGAGTGTTCTAAGAAAACACTAAGTTTTATGGTTGATTTCAGGATGCTGCTTACGTGATTCAAAGGACATTTGTATTTCTTCAAAGTGTACATTATGCTTCTACCATCATGAATGTATACACAATACGCATTTATGTAGGTAATTGTTGCTATGTAAGTATATTTTTTGAAAGAATTAAAAAAAACACACAGCAGTTTTTCCCCATAAATAATTATCAGCAGATGATGAACAGTAAATTATAAAATAGGATATGTCTGCTTTTTTCCCCCTTCAATCTCCTTTACCAAAGTATTCCAAGAAAGCTTTCTTCTATGGCTATGATGGTTTGGAGACTCATGCTTCTTAATATCGAATCTTAAGTTGTGGCTTATGCAGTATTTCAGACTTTGGGAGTAAGAAAGTCAACGTTAAAACAATTAATTATTTTTTCTACTATTTTCTTCATGATGAGCATTGGAAATGGCATGTGCTGGATGAAGGTTAATTTATTGAAAGACTATTTTCTATATGTAATTTAAAAGGTATTTCATAAACCTTTTAGGTGGAAGACACAATCTTCAGAAAAATCAGATTGTTCACTAAAAATAAACTCAAAAGTCAAGAGTAATTTTTATTAAATTTGTAATTTATTTACCATTTCAGTATGTGCAGAAGTAAAAGAGAAATTGTAATAGAAGAGTCAGAGCCAAATGATGAAACCTATTTAACTTCATAAATTAATAATGGTAGTGTTTAATAGTGTAGTACTAGAAGGGATTAAAAGAGGGCTACTAATACAGTAATTCAAAACTGTAATTAATGAACACAAATAGTGAGAGAGTAAAATGAACCTACAGAACTTTATATGCATTTGTTTTTTTACAAATTGTACCATTTCTGTTCAGCATTTCTACTCAGTAAATCAAAAGAATTTCTTACCATAATCTTTAAAATGTTTCTGACCAGGGAGTATAACGCACTTTTGTCTAATAAAGTTAGCTATTAAAATGTTACTAAAGGACATTTGCTTCCTTGTATTAAGCAGGTGAGAATAAATACTAAGAAGCAAAAGCTTACTGTGATATTAACTTCATCAGTCCCGTATGACTAGTCATTGTTTATGCTAAAGCTATGACCTTGGTACACTGAGAGAGGGAAATGCAGATATGTGTGTACTCTCATAACCTAACTTAAAAAAATGTTTAGCACAAGGATTAGCTCTTAATCTTTTATTGTTTTTAAATAGTTGTTTATCTCCCAGAACTGTTTAAGTTGCCCCGATAATAGGGTTAAATAAAAAGGTACTTCTCTCTCCTCTTAAATTCCTGTAAACTAAAGGTTTAACAGTGGGAACTTTAAGCAGCAGTATTAGAATTCAGAGGTTTGTAGGCATGTGGTCTCTGCCTAATGTAGTAATGATCAAGTTTGGGAAGCTTCCTACCTCAGAGCTTACTGAGTGTTACAAACCAAGTAAGGCTATCCTAACGATGGAGAAGAGTTTTCTGAAAAGGTTCCTGTCCTTTAATTTTCAGAAGCAATTTAAACCAAGTTCCATTGTAACTAAAACAAATATCATCAGGCTCATGTCTGAGAATCATTTCATACTGCTAACCTCACTGCACAGGCATATGTAGCTTCCGGTGCTTCAGCTCTGATGCTCTGCTTCCCATTTGGAGGGGTAATTACTGTTTGAAGCTTTCATTTCCTTCAATCAGCTGACACTCAGTAATTTATTGTGAACTTCAACTGTTTAGGCCAGTGACATATTGATTATGATAAGAATTCCAAAAAAGCTAAAGACTTTTATATATGTGTTTCTATAGCACATATATATTGCAAATATATATATTTATGGCAAATACAAATATATAAATATACATATATGTGATATATATCAGTTAAAAATAAAACTTTATAAATTGTATGGTGTATATATCAATGTATAAATAAATATATATATTTATATATATATATCAGTTAAAAAATAAAACTTTAGGCAATGCTTCATCAAGAGGCATTCCTGCCTTGTTATTTATGGTTATTTTAGAAGGCTTCCCAAACCTGGATGGCTTCTGAAGCCAGAAATTTCCATAGCAGAGGAATCTATGATTTGCTGTGAATCCTTTCAGCCCTCAATAGATGGGAAAAGATTGAAATGCTCTGGAGAGGAGTCCTCTTTATTTTTTTAATGAAAGGCTGTATAATATATTTTCTCTATGGCTGCAGCAGCTGTCAGGGAGAGCATCTCAGTTCAGCTCTATTACGGGAGAGGCAATACCCCATCCTACGGCATCGAGATGCTCTGAGGGGCCAGAGCTGATTGACAGCTTGTCACCGTGACGTCTTATTCCATCTCTGTTATGGAGAAAATTAATGTCACACCACCAGCCTTATGACTCGCTGTCATCTTAGAACTGCTCACCTTTTATCAATGCTCTAAATAACATTTCAAGCCCATCGTCTCACGGTGGACAATCCGGTCAAGGGACATTAAATCAGATGACTGTGAAATGTCATAATAAAAATGGAATGCTAACAACTTCTTCTCTAAACTAGCTCCTCTGGTTTTTAAACTGTGACAAGGGGGAGCAAGGGTTCAGCATACCCGTTCTGAAAAGGTCATACAATCGCTCTTGGTCTACTACCCATTACTACCCGCCCCCTATTGACCTTCCTTGCTTGCTTCCCCCCCCAAAAAAAGAAGAAGAAAAAAAAGAAAAATGGAATTAGCCATCTTCTCAGAATGTGGTGATCAAATAATGGCTCACACAGTAATGTCTGTTTAATTTGTGGAGCTTCAGCGCTTTGCAATGAACCACTGAATGACAGCAATGGAAAGCCTTTTCAGGGCTCTTTCATGTGAGAGCAGGGAAATTAATCAACTTTCCCCACCACAACCATATTCTTAAGTTTAACCTAAATTAAAAAAAAATACACATGTTCTCACATGAAAACATATAAAAAATTTTCCAAATAACCTGCCTAATATGTTTTGCTAAAACAGGTGATATTTCAGACATGATGTAACTAACATTCATTCATTTCATAATCTATATAATAAAGGAAACATACTGAAACCTAAAACATAGGCCTTTGTCCTTGTATTGCTATAACTAATTATAACACACGTGCCATTGCATACAGTAGCTTCTTGGCAAGTACATCTGTAGAGGGAGATGCAGGCCTATGCTTCAAATTCAGGACTAAAAACAAGTATATTTAAATGTGGTTCACTTTTTAATATAATGAAAGCAGAACATAATCTGAGAATTAGTTGGAATAGCCACATAATGTTTTATATTTTATTGAAATAATAACTGACATTTGAAAGAAAGCATGGAAACAAATACTCAAATTCTGAATGGAAATGGCTGATTCAAAGAAGCCCATCCAGCAAAAAAAAAAAAAATCAATAGTAGTTGGATTATTTCCAATTCCCTAGCCTGCAGTACCATTCTAATATATGGGATTAATTCATGAAATACAGTATTATAATATCTAGGATAATTTTTATATTAATAGATACACTAATTAATTCCTTTAAACTGTTTTAATTCATGAAGCTCACTTCTGGCAACAGGAGATCACGTTTTGGTAGGTATCAAAATGTGAAATAATTTTCATAATTGCAATTATATATTAGACGACGCCACACAATACTTTAGGCTCTTAGCTAGTTTAAAAATGTATACTATTTTGCCTTGCTAAGTCACCTCCATTAAACTGTTTATGATAACACTATTGGTGGATGAGTTGTACAAGCATTAGCAGACAGCTGATTCAGGGGAGATAGCCAGAGTAAATTTGCTGAAGCGCACATCCTGCTAATCTGTTTGAAGAATATTGTAGAGCATTAGTACCAGCACTTCATGTTATCTGCACAGCCTGATAAGGTACATCTTTATTAAATTCAGTTATTGAAAGGATGTCAGTCAGCAAATAGGAATATTTTAAAAACTAGAAAAAAATTAAGCGGTTCTTTGTTAGTCAGAGCTTGGTTTCATAGCTGAGAGTCTAGAGGAGCCTTCTAAACACCTGGCAGCATCGTACAATACCAGCTTTGTGATTTTAAGTGGAAAAGCTTTTTCCCAGTTTCGTGGGTACTGAGGTTTTCACTTTTCTGAGCCTCCACTGAGAGAGAATGGTGGAGTAAGAGCTCCCCTCTCTGTTGCTTCAAGAAAACTACATGGTGGGAAAAGTATAGTGTGAGGATGCTGGGAAATAGGTAGATTTGGTTGTGAATGTTTTGGTTTGGTAAAAATTGAGAAGGGCACTTACGTTAGAGACTCCACTATTCTACCCTATCTCTCTACAATTGATCAAAAGGTGAAGAGGCTTCCTTTTAATTATAATTCACATTCAACTAAAAAAAAAACAAAGAAAAGAAATAAAGTGAGGTGTTTCTAAACAGTTGAAAATAAAAAATGATTTCTGGAATACCCTATGGTTACCAGGCTGCTATATAATGTAAGTGCCATTAACTCCATTTCAAACTTGGAAAGACAAAGAAATATGAATTGCAATTACAAAGAGTCAATGAATTAATTTTAAAGTAATACTGTGTAAACTTAACTTTCCTTTATGGGAAGTTTCCCTGCATAATTGTGCTGTATGATAAAATCACTGAGGAGAATCTCAGAATCTAAAACGTGCTCTGGAGGGGGCTCTAGAAAAGACCTGGTGTACAGACACCAGTGGGGAATGAAAGGGAGGCTGCGGAGACATGTTTGGCATCTGCATTCGCCCCGTCTTCTGCAGTGATCTGTTAGACAGCTTTTCAAATGTACCTCTGTCACTTCAGGTAAATTATTTACAACCTCATCTAGGCACATATGACCCCGAGAGGGGACAGCTACATACGTACATATCTCTTTAGTATTTCCTCCCGTTCTTTCTGGTCCTCCAGGGAGTTGACAGAGAGGTCAGAGATACTGACTGTGGCCGAAGCTGTCAGGGTGACCAGCAGCACCAGGTGTCCCTCACCCTCTTCCAGCTGCAATTCCAACTTGTGCGTCTGTTCCCTACTGAGGACCGACAGGTCGACCTGGCACCTAGAAACAAATGTTTTGAATTAGCAAGTGGCTTTCTTCCCCCGACATCAAACAGGGGAGGTGCAGGCCTCGCAGGGCTCTGTGGGAAGTAAATCAATAGAAATACTATTTGGACCACTAGAAGAATATTCTTTCATGTTAGCTGACTTTCTTCACAAAATTCTGCCCCTGATTATTTTAGTACCTAATTGCTGATTTCCTGTAAGAAACAAACAAACAAAAAAGTGCTTATCTGATTCAGTTACTACCCACTGTCACCATATTCCTGTGTCTGCAGGGACCTCTTCAGTCCCTGAATGGCCTAGGTCACTGGGGCTTTCTTTACAGAAAGAACCTCCTGGGAGCCACCCAGAGGGGCAAACTCCCCAGAGCCTGAATTTGTGGGTCACTTTAAACCAATGTGTTTTCCCCCTCTCATTTAGAAATGTTATATATAAAGCAGTGATGACAGTATGCCCTTTGGTGATGCCATAAGTTTTACATTTCTAAAACCATGCCAATCTATTCACAGAACACTCATAAATCTAAATAAAAAACCAAACAAGTCCTCTGAAAACATTATAGCTCAAGTGTTATGTACCAGAGTTGTCCTGAGAGGTTTCATAATGTGGCAGCCCAAGGACAACAGCCACTCTCTCAGAGCTGAACACCTTGTAAGCTTTGTTCATAAAAATGTCTGTTGATTTGGAAGAGAAAGATATTATGGTGACCACAGGGCCGATAAAGGGAGAGAAAGGGGGCACATATGAATAAAAGGCATTTAAAACAGGAAATAGCCAATTGAAACAAAAAATGTGGTAACACATAAACAGGGTGGTCAGCTATCAAGGACAGATTACATTGTTGCTTCTTCTTATTCTTCACCCTATTTATTGTTTATTGTTTTGCTTTTAAATTAAATGCATATAAATAGGGCCTCCAAGCTTACAGTTGTGCTCAAACACCTCTTTAAGCATGAGTGATTTTAAGAACTGAATCAATGTCTGACATTTACCTTTTATTTTTGCCTATCAAAAATGACATCAGAGATGGCCAGGACTAGAAACAATTGTGAGGAAGAGGAATATAGATGCAACAAACAAACAAACAAAAAGTCCTGGTCAGTGACAGAAAAATGTGTGTGCTAAATGCTAACTATTGAGAAAGAAGGAAATTAAATTCTGTGGCAAGTCTGAAAAATATCTCCTTAAAGTTAGAATGTATATCAAATGACTTCATTGTTTCTGCAAACACAACATCCATTCCAAAACACTCTCATGCTGTCTCTTAAATTCTAAAGGATGAAATGATATATAAAATGTGGCCTTATCTAATATTCTAATTTAAACTGAAATTAAGTTATTGTCAATCACACGTGGAAGAAATCGAGGGCAAAATACATACAATGGTGAAAAACAACCCATCAGTATTCTCTAATAAAAATAAAAAGATCAATATAATTTTGTGCAGCATCTGCACAGTGCCCAGCCTGTAGTTTATGGAATATGAATGAATCTTTGGACTAGATTAGGGATCTGACACTAGAGCATCGAACAGAGATTACAATTCAGATAGTATTTTTGGTTGGATAACGTTGGGACCAAGAAGAGTCTTTCACTCACTTTGATCACACATTTTCCAGTCCAGTCCTTGTCTTATTCTTTGGTGTGACACCACATCCTCTTAAAACACTGAAATACATTGAAGCCATCCAGAGGATTTTCTTCTATGCCAGTTACCACTTTGCATCAGTCGTAGAGATGCTGGGCTACTTCTCATTCATATTAGAGTTTTTGCATTAAATGCTTTAGGTTAGGGAAGATGTTCTAAACATAATCTGGTCCAGGTATCGTAAATTGGCAACTTTCAGATCAAATCTGTGCCATGGATTTGATTTTCCTTGTAGTGTAAAAGTCTTGAAGTTAAATAATTTTAAAGACAGAGTAAATGTCTTCTGACTTAGTATCCCCAATACTGTCTATTATTTATAGCTGGCCTGCTTCACTTAATTCAGTGCCTGGTTCCAATAGGCATTAGGATTTGTGATCCCTGAAATCTCCTTCATTTACCGATGAGGAAACTGAGGGCCAGAGAAGTTACATGACTTAATGGAAATATAGTTAATTATTAGCAGAGCCAGGATCTGAACTTAGGACTCTAGAATCCAAGATCTAGGCTTTTTTTTCTTGACCAGTCTGTCTTGAAGTAATTGTGCTTCCCAGGAGGAAGTGTGTGCTGTTTGCAGTGATACTTAAACTGGGTAGATCTGGATTCATATTAAATAGAAAAAAATTATCTCAGTTTTGAAATATGGAATCATGTCATTTTTATGCTTTTAATAAATGTAAACTAGGGAGGACGGCTGTCAGTTATCATTCTTATAAGATAATAAACTAAGAAAAATTTAAAAATTGAATTTTAAAAACTCTGAAACTAATAACATTTAAATTAATCTATACATTTATAGGGGGATTATGCTTTTCTGCTACAACTAAATCTCTAATATCAGTGTATTCATGAAAATAATCTCAGCTCCTGTCCTATATTTAATGTTTCAAAATTTTTGACTTCTATCATTCTAATATAGAAAATGTCTATTTATACAAATATATTGGATGAGAGAGAATTAATGGCTTCAAAGTTCTAGTTGAGGTTATACATATCTCCTATTCATCTAAAAAAATCTGCTCAGGAGTAATCCTCTGATGCTGCTGTAAATGAAGTTCTCCATATTGCCGGTCCATGTGTGGCTAAGTAGGTGCACCTGCTGAGCAATCAGCTCTGTCTCTGAAACACAGGAAAGAGTGGCCAGCCCAGTAACATATCACCTTGCATTGCTTCCTGGTCTTCCCCGCCTCATGTTTTCTCTTTCACTCTCAGTGCCTGGGACTGTACCTCCCAATAAAGCATCAGCACTTAGGCATTGGCCCAAGCTCAATTTCCTAAGGAACTTGGGCGAAAGCAGAAGCCATTGATAAAATTCAATCCCCTTAGTTATAGATGTCTAGAACACAAACCTGACTGTGTCCCTCCCCTGGCTTCCCACCACCTATGAAATATCCTTAGCAAGGTAACAGTGCCCTCCACAACCTACCATCAGCTTGTGTGTCACTTGCTTACTCACTACTTAAGTCATTCTAGACCACCACTTGTAATTCTTTCACCATCCATGCTAGGGCTCAACTGTTCCTTTGTCTTTGGACAAGGCAACCTCTCTGCCTATCTTCCCTTAGCTACTTTTTATTAATTCTCATTGAGATAGACTGCAGTTGTCTTTCAGTGTCAGTACCCTGAGACACCTCAAGGGCAGGCATCTGGCATAGCACCTGGACTACAGTTGGTGCTCTGTAAGTTTTAAAATACGTATGGACAAAGAGGTAAAGTTTCAGAGGCCAAAATTTACCCAAGGTGATAGCGCCAGAGCAGAACTAACATATAAGGCTCTCTCACTCTATCACTTCTATATTGTCATCCTAGGAAGCAGTTTGATTTCTTTCCAACACTCCTTTCATTCATTCATTCATTCATTCAATAGTTATTAAATATCTTATGTGTCTCTGTTATATTTGGGGGATCCGGCTCCCTGTCAGCCTTCTAGTTTCTCACATTTTATTTTCAGAATGACCACAGAGTCTGTGTGTTGTAGTTTTATTATAACATAGGCTTTATTAGTTTGATATTGGAAAATTACAAAACTTACTATCTGTACGAAGCCCAACTTATCAATCAGTCAGTAGAAGAGCCAAAACAAGCTCAAAACTGAAGACTCCAGGGCTACTGTAATCTGTATACATAAAAGGGGAAATCGAGGCTTAGAGAGATTAAGAGATGGTAAGAACTCAAACCACATTTCCTGAGTTCCATATCAAAGCTTAAAATTCATTGCACTTCTAAAATACTGCATGCATTTATTTAGCCACATGAAAGGACTATGTCACATTTACTTGGTGATATTTTCCACTAAGAGTTCAAGGAGAGACATTTCAGTGTTTCTATCACCTTTTTCCTCTCTGCCTTTTTATCTGCCATGCCTGAACCAGTGACCTATAACATTCCTATGAGGTGAAACAGTTTTGTGTGTAGCATCCTGGATACTAACTACATGTGTGAGTCCACTGGGGTACAGAAAGTAAATATTAGGACTCTTTGGATTTTTAAATAATTAAAAAAATTTATTTTATTTATTTATTTTATTATTATTTTTAAAAAAAGATCACTTTCAGGGACTTCCAGTCATGATGGAGGCATAGGTATACACACTTCGCCTTCTTACACGACTACAGAAAAAATTACTAGATTACAGAACAAATATCACCCAGAACTGTCAGAAAATTGAGCTGTATGGAAGTTCAACAACCACGGATTTAAAGAAGCCACATTCATTCAGACAGGTAGGAGGGGCGGAGATGAGGAGAGAGGTGGAGAGATGTGAGGAGCTGTGGAGCCACGGAGTGGTGCGGAGTCAAAGCAGCTCCACCTAATACACAGAAACAAACACAGGGAGGCTGCCAAATTGAGGGGACAAAGAACTATGGCCCAAATGAAAAACCAGAACAAAACTCCAGAAAAAGAGTTAAATGAAACTGAGATAGCCAACCTATCAGATGCTGAGTTCAAAACAACGGTGATCAGGATGCTCGAAGAACTCATTGAGTATTGCAACAAAATAAAAATGACCCAGGCAGAAATGAAGGTTACAGTAAGTGAAATAAAGAAAAACCTACAGGGAACCGACAGTGGAAGGGATGAAGCTGAGGTTCAAATCAACGATTTGGAACATAAGGAAGAAAAAAAATCGTTCAGTCAGAACAGCAAGAAGAAAAAAGAATTAAAAAAAAATGAGGATAGACTAAGAAGCCTCTGGGACATCTCTAAACATACCAACATCTGAATCAGAAGAATGCCAGAAGGAGAAGAGGAACAGCAAGAAATTGAGAACTTATGAAAAAATAACGAAAGAAAACTTCCCTAATTTGGTGAAGGAAATAGACATACAAGTCCAGGAAGTACATAGAGTCCCA